ATTTAATTTCTTAATTTCTTAATTTCTTAATTTCTTAATTTCTTTCTTTCTTTCTTTCTTTCTTTCTTTCTTTCTTTCTTTCTTTCTTTATCTATCTATTTATTTATTTATTTATTTATCTATTTATTTATTTATCTATTTACTTATTTATTTGTATCTGTCTGTCCCACAGCACCACAGCACCAGCCAAAGCCCCCACTATGAACCGACCACCCAGCAGACAACAATAACCCCTGGCCTCCTGAAGGCGCGTAAAAACCAGGCACGCCTCGTCATGGACGGTGACGAGTACGAGACGATGACGTCAGCCAACCTGTCCAGCACCCTCCCGCCCTCCAGCTCCACGGAGGTGGATGACGTCACGGCCAACGTGACGTCACGGCCGGTGTATGCCATGAGTGACGAGGACAGGGAGAAGATTATCATCATAGCCGTTATCATGGGATGTACGTATACCTACCTACTGGCTACCTCAGAATTACAAAGTTCTGTCATGTTCTGTCAAGCTGACTTTTTTGTCCAGTTACTAAGACCATGAGATCCGAAATCAAGCTACGCTCTATTTGCTCTATCAAAATCGTAAGAATATTCGGAGCCGTTATCAAGATATTCAAACATTTGCATTCGAAAAAGCTTGACATGTTGCGAAATTTAACGATTTTCACGTCAAATTTCTGAAAACTTAGTACAAAGCAGATAAAACTTTGTAATTCTGAAGTGGCGTTCTGTCAATTTTTGTTGGGGTTTTTTCGCTGGAAAAATAGGGCAAGGTCACCAATAATAAAAGAAAATATGGGAAAAGCCATTCAAGAGCTTGCATTTTACAATATGTACGTGTACCAGTCCTGCCTCCTCGCTGTCTCAGAATTACAAAGTTGTGTCATGTTCTAACAAGTTGACATTTTTGTCCAGTTTGAGTTACTAAGACCATGAGATCCGAAATCAAACTACGCTCTATTTGCTCTATCAAAATCGTAAGAATATTCGGAGCCTTTATAAAGATGTTAAAACATTTGATTTCGAAAAAGCTTGAAAGGTTGGGATATTGACATTTATTGGGCTAATTTATCAATGTCATGCTCATACTGTGCCAGAACAACATAGGGGGAACTGCTGCTTCTTTTTTCCTCATCTTTACTATCGTCAATTTCCTCTAATTCTTTTGTATATTTGTCTCTCTCTTGTGAACTGCTATTTCCGGGGTGCCTTGATAGTCGAAGCAGACTTTGTGTTGTTGAGGCTAGAGAGGTGAGCAGAGTAAGCCTGATTCCTTGTTTAGACTTCTCTGTTGACATCCACTCCTTAACGCTCATATGACCTTATGCAGTCGCGAACGCCGTAAAACCTTACTAAAACTAATCTAACTACATGGACAAAGTTCTGCCTGATATTTTTGACCGTTTTTAATTACTAGGACCATGAGATCAGAGATCAAATGCTCTAGTTGCTCTATCAAAATCGTAAGGGTTTTTTTGGTCATTATCGAGATATTCAAAGAATTGCATTCGAAACAGCTTGACATGTTGAGAAACTCAAAATCTTTGACGTCACATTTCTCAAAAACTAGGTAGTCAGCAGAGAGAGCTTTGTAGTTCTGAAGTGGTGTTTACTGTCAATGTTTGTTTTGGGTGTTTTTTTCACTGGAAATATCGGGCTAGGTCACAATTAGTTTTTCTGTTTGTTGTTGTTGTTGTTGTTTTGTTGTTTTTTATAATGGGGGAAAAACAACTTGAAAAGCTTGCATATTACAAACATTGATTTTGTTCGTCTGTTGGTTTATCACTTCAGTCAGTTTAATGAGAAACAGAACAAACAATATGCAGTTACGAGTGTCGTAAAAACTCTACTAAATAGATCAAACAAGAAATGTAAACGAACAGTGGAACAAACTTGGCATTTTGAGTCTACAGGCTATTAAATTCTTTTTGTTTTTGTTTGGATTTGTCTAAATTTCCAGATTGTGATCTTTTACCCCTTTTTTGACCTTATACCCGAAAACATTTATTTTTGTCCCTCTAATAACAAAAGCTAGCATTTGTATAGCACAAATCCCCGCTCAACAGCAGGGTCTGTACGCTTCACAATCTATACTATTACCCCAGCAGACCTGAGGGCATTCTGAAACAATCTCAACTTCCGGGGAAGCGTACAGTCTAAACAATGGTCAAGCTGCCGGACTCGATCAAGGCTCGAAAAAAGCAAACTTTTGTTTCAAATCTTTTCCAACAGGCTGATATATTTGTTTCTTTGGGTTTCTTTGTCCTTTTTAAAGGCGTTTTACGGCCTTCACAACTACATAAAGTCGTTGAGTGCGCGGGATACATTAGGCATTTTCAGTTTGGTGGGAAGTATTTAATAAATTTTGCCCGGGTGGCGGCCTATGCCTAGGAACATCAAGGTATCTTTAAAGTGCACAACTTGCACAAGTACCTCCGAGGGTTTTTTTTCCCTAATTCGAGAAGGTTAGTTGTTAGATATTTTCTACTATAAGACCAGGAGTGTGTCCGAAAGACAATAGTAAGAAGGAGCCACGGGGTAACAGTAGAAAGGCTGCAGAAAGAGCCAGGAGCCCAGAGGAAGGGGATAAAGGGGAGTATTCAAAGAAAAAAGGATGGGAGTGGGTGGGCCCCCCAAAAAACCGAAGGGATTGTTGGGGGGGGGGGTGAAAAATGGGGGTTGGGGTTTCTGGAAAGATGTTGAAATTACAGCAACACTAATATAACACCGACAGCAACATAAAACAACAGCAAAGACAACAACAACAACAACAACAACAACAACAACAACAACAACAGCAACAACAACAACACGAAATAAACCAATAATACTCCTTCATCGCAACACTGTATACACAAAGCATTTGTTTTCTGTGTCTCCCCAATACAATTGTTTAATGGCCACGCTGTTTATGTGCCAATGTCCGTCTTCTCTGTGTCAATTACGCACTGCGCGTTTTATGAAATAGCTGGGGTGATGTTTGTATTTATTTATTTAGATGTATGCATTATGTTCACAATCTACGTCCATCTCGCTCTCTTGAATTTTCATGTCGGGCCTGCCTTTATTTGTTCTTTCTGTCTTTTTCTTTTTCTCTACCCCCCCCCCCCCCCACACTCAACCCGCCACTTCCCAATTTCTCTGTAAGTGTCTCCCAGTGCCTCTACCTTCCCCCTCCTCTCTCTTCCTCCTCTTCTCTCCTTTATCTCTCTCCTCCTCTCTCTACTTCTCTCTCTCCTCCTCTATCCACCTTTCTAAAAAAGCTAGTCACAATTCCACATTGATTTTTTTCCCACACAAGTAGGGTAACTGATCAGGCTACCGATTTAGCAAATTAAAAATCGTTGATGCCACAAATTTTAAAAGGCGTTTTGTTAGCTAAGGGAAGACTAATGAATCCTTCTTCTACTCAAAATCTAATATTGAGATCTACACCTAACCTTCTCGGACAAGGGCAAGTTGAGATCGTTAAAGATCCCTTGGTGGTCCACAATCGATATGAGTAGGCTTCGGCTGCCACCTGGGCAAATTAAAAACATTTCCCACCAACTGAAAATGTTTGGTGTGTCCCTCACACTCATATGACCTTATGCAGTTTGGAGCGCCGTAAAACACTTTACAAACAACCCTCCCCTCCCTAAAAAAACCCGAAAAAAACCCCCAAAGTCTAATGTGCAATAAATGTTTTGTTTCAGTCACTCTGATCGGCAACATGACTCTGATCCTAGCACTGCTGGTCAAGCGGTCACTTCGGGTGAAGCGAGTGAACATCTTGTTGATCAACCTGGCCTTTGGAGACCTGGCGGTGGCGCTCTTCGTCAACTCTGTGGAGATTCTATTTATAGCCTTCGGCGACTGGGCCCTGGGTCCGGTTATGTGCAAGATCAGCGTCTACGTGCAGGTGAGAGTGTTGTTTGTCTGTTCGCGTGTTGTTTGTATGTTTGTTTCCCAAGTTTTTACATGTATTTGTATTTTAAGTTTTGTGGTTTTTCGTGTTTGAATTTTATATTGTTTTTGTTTTATATTGTTTTGTTTTGTTTGTTTGTTTGTTTAACTATTTATTTCTTTGTTTGTGTATGAGTTTGTTTGTTTGTTTGTGTAGGGGTCTAAACCATTTTCATATCTCTATAAAAGAGCCAGCTTGTCTCAAAGCAAACACAGATCTGCCTTCTGGGCGCACTTGCAATTTCTTCTTCTCCTCTCCCTCTGCCGTTTCTGTCTGTGATTATCTTATTTTTCCCCCAGATCTGAACGGCCGTTGTCGTGTCAATGTGCATCTCTTTATCTGACGCCCAAAGCAACATTTTATTTTGCGCTATGACAAAAATGCACCCTGTGAACTCAATTCCAATTCACACGCCACACAAATCAAGATTGCGTCCATCAATGGAACTGCGCACCATCGGGGTAAAGGGTATGTTGTCCTCGTCTCTTGCCTTCTGGAAATGTCAGACAGGAGCGGTCACTAATAAAAACAAAAACGAAAAGAAAAAGAAAGAAAATCAGCTTTAAAACGTCGCCTGTTTTCCATTAGTTTAATCATCACTAATTCTAGAAAACACGAGCTTTTTTTGGTAGTAGAAGGCTAGAAAAGAGCAGTAACAAAGATGACGCACGATGAAAACATCAGCTTTCTTTCAACAGTTTCATTATCATCATTGAGATATAATATAAGTATCAGTGATTGAAAAAAGGAATCTTGTACATGCGATTACTTTATTTTTTTAAAATACGCTGTTGTTTTTTTAAATAACGGCTTGACAAAGGGTGGTTGTAGCCAGAGAAAGGTCATTTCTATTGAGGCTCACCAATTTAGAGCAGTTGGATTGAATTGAATCTTCTCAAAGCAAACATAGGCCCACGATAGGATGCGTTTGATGGAAATCATGGAGAACAAACAGACCTCCGCCATGGCAGTTCTACATGTACTGACTGAAGTTGTGTGTAAGTCATTCCCAAAGGCGGGATATTAACATGACCGTTCTTATTATACACAGTAGAATTGTAAATAGGCTGATTCATCAATGTCA